GGGTGACTGTTGTAGGAATTGTCCTGTGCTTTGCAGCATGTTTAGCAGCATCCTTAACCTCTACTTTCTAGATGACAGCATGCCCTCGAACCCACACCTCCACTCTGGCAGCGAAAGATGTCTCCACACATCGCCAAATGTCTCCTGAAGACAAAATTGTCACCAGTTGAGAACCCTCGTGTAACTACATGCAAACGGCAGGAGATATGGCAGTTTTGATAAAACATACTTTTCAATTAACCTCTTCCTGTGGATGCATCGTTATCATCTACACTTCTGCCCAGCTAATATTTAAACAGTTTCCCCACTGCAAGAATTGTATTTTGAAAGTGATTTCTGTTAGCATCGGTAGTTCTTTCCATATGTTATATTTGATCATGCTGCTTCAAATGGTTTTAGTCATGGTTTAGGATTCATGCTTGACATCAAGGTTTAGATTTTTAGGCTAAGTAAAAAGAATTTGAAAATGGCTCAGTTGTGGCAAAAATAAGATGTTTATGCAAGAATGTTAATTACATAGGATCATGAGATTATAAAGAGTTGGCAGCAGCTCTTTGTGAAGAAAGTTTATCTGTACTGGGTTCTTTGAATGGATTTCCACCTCAAGCTCAGAATTTGCCTAATCCTGCTCAAATCATTATTTATCTCTGACAAGATCAAAAATTTCCTAAAGAAAGGATTAGAAATTTTCTTCTACTTAATCTTTCTGCTTTTGGATCTAGACAAGTATTTGATTGTCAAAACATTAAGCTAGGTAGAGCTAGGTATTCTGGAGAATATCTGCACCTCCTTTTGAGGGCTTGGTGGTAGGGGAGCAGGTGAGTAGTAGAAGCCTTAACACTGGGATTGTTCTCCTCCCCTCCCAATTTTTCTGAAGGATTTTAAGGTAGAAAAGAAATCTCCGCCTAGTACTGAATAATATCCCTTTTAATTCAGGCCGACTACAATGCCTACCTTACCTATCTCACAAGGAAATTTTCCACACCCTCAGACTTTAATGCCTGCTTAGCCCTGTTTTACATCTCCTGAAAAACTTTTCTAGTAACCATAGCTTATTGGATCAGCAGTGGACATATGGCCCAAGAACATCAATTTCTGACAGTGACTGTTGACATTGTCTAATCCATGAACCCTTCCCTGATCAACCCACCCCTGTCAAGGATTGCTTGGTCTTGGGCTTCTGTCTTCACCCATTAGAGTCCCGTTTTAGCAAGAATCTTGCTAAATCAGTTTAGCCAAAATCCCCTACCATACTATTTGATCACACTCCATACCTGACCAAATTCCTCACCCACCCCAACCCCCCTTGGTATGATCTGATCACCTTGGTCTACCTTCAGCAAGAGTCCTGTTAGGTCAGTTTAGGGGAAAAAAAAATCATCTCACCCTCTGATTAATTTCCATGTATCAACTCCCTCATTCTACTCCTTGGCTATAAATCCCCATCTTTTCTTGTTGTATTTGGAATTAAGCCTGATCTCTCTCTCCCCTACTGCAAAAGACCACTGCAGTAATCCCTACAGCTATGGCAATAGTCCTGAATAAAGTCTGCCTTATAATTTTAACAGGTGTCATGAATAACTTTTTCTTTAACACCCACATTGGCCTTGACTTCCTCTAGTCTCACTGTGTATTACAGCTCATTTCAGCCATTATAAGCTATTTGTGGTGTTATTTCTGTGCCTCAGAAATAGATTTCCGTGGTGCCATGTATGTGTCAAATTATTCCATATTGTCCGGTATAGTGCCTCGAACACTAAAAGCGTTGAATAAATACCTGTCCGTTCTTCTGGGCATAAGCATAATTGTCAATTTACCACACGACTGGACAGTGCAGTAGCTGAATACTTCCCGAGAAACCTACCCAGAAGCTTTGTCAGCGTCTTGTGGGACTAGGAGAAGATTACCTCAACCTCCTCATTGCAGGTCCGATTGTCTGAAAAGCAGATTCAAGGACGGAAATGAATATGCAGGGTGGGGGGCGGTTGTCAAGCAGTCTTCTTGGGATCAATGACTATAGAAGGGGAGGGAAGGAAGCCAGATGGAACAAAGAGAGAAACAGGGCTGCAGAGAAGTTACAAGGCCTGGACAGACCCGATGGGGGACATTAATGCCAGGATAACCCTTTAGAGACTTCCCAAATGGGAGCAAGGAGATGGGTTTGAGATATCCACTCTTACCTCCTTAAAAGCCACTTTTTAGCTGTGGGCTGCCCTTGACAGGGGCCACTCTCTTCAGCTGCAGCAATTCCCAAAGAGAGCTTACAACTGAGCTCTTTGCTGACAGCAGTCCCAGCAGTTGCATACGTTCTTCAGTCCTGAAAGGGAATCTGGAAGACACAGCATAGGGTCCTAAACAGACTTCTGCAAAGACATAGGATATAGAGGCTAGAAAGTTCCAGTCTAGCCCGGATCAGATAAGCTCCATATCTGTGTCAGCCACTTGCTTTGGACTCCTCAGTAGGTTTTCTCTTGCCCATGTAATAAACTCTTCTGCCTGGCTTCCAAGACCCACATAGCCCTTTATTTCACTCTTCACAACCTCTAGAACACCAGAACTACTTGCTCTTGGCTTATCTTTCTACCTCTGACAGTCCAAGCTACGTCCATCCTTTAAGCCAATTTTCTTCTTGCCTCGTCTTTCAGTAATCCCCCACCCCAGCCTTGTCTACCAGTTCTTTCTGCAGCAGGCATAGATTGTTCCATCTGCTCCATTCACATGGGCTCTTTTTTTTTTTAAGATTTTATTTATTTATTCGACAAACAGAGATCACAAGTAGGCAGAGAGAGAGAGAGAGAGAGAGAGAGAGAGGAGGAAGCAGGCTCCCTGCTGAGCAGAGAGCCTGATGCGGGGCTCCATCCCAGGACCCTGAGATCATGACCTGAGCCGAAGGCAGAGGCTTTAACCCACTGAGCCACCCCGGTGTCCCCACATGGGCTCTTAAATACACCCCACTATCTGGGAGACACGTAAAACTTGCTCTGCCTGTGAGACCGTAAGCTCCCTGAAGGTGGGAAATGTGCTTACAACACCCTGCACAGGGCCTGAGGCATCATGGTCATTCAAAATATCATTACTCCTCAAACCCTGACCTACCTCAGGTCAGCTGTGTAAGGGGAAAAAAATTTTTTTTCTTCTTAAAAATGTTCACTTAATTCTCCTGTACACGGGTGCCCCTGCTTCAGAAGTTATAATGCACAGCTCAGTAGAAAAAAGAGGAAAAAAAAAAAAAAAGGATGAGGCCTTTGCTCAGATGTTCTCATTTACAGTATACTTCAGGACAGGAAATAAAGACTTCCTGCCAATTCAAGTGACATTATTTTGTGGAAGCTTATCCACAGGCATGTAAAAGACATGGGCACAAAATAAGTTAATCACATGTAGTGTGAATTGGTTAAGACTGAGTTCAAGTAAGTCAGAAATTTTTGAAGAGTCAACAGAATTTCAAAATTCACAGTCATTTCCTGAAAGTACAGTCTGGTAAAATTGGCTTATCACCTCACTTTTAATGCACATATGTGATTTCCTGCTTACAGCATTTCCCAAAGGAATGAGAAAAAAATATTTTACAACTAGGAAAGTTTTATAAGAGGGATTATCTATAGTTCCTGAATAAGAAGCCTTCTCCCTCTCCAGGCACACCTGCAGCTCCTAATAACCGACTTACGCAATTTTCCTCTCTACTTGAATCAAAATTGGCAATAAATGTTGTATATGTCTCACAGAGTGAATGTTTAAATCTTGTATTTACTGGTTCATGAAACTGGTTCCCTCTAGTTTACCAGCATGGAGGGGTGGGTTTGCAGGGAGCAATTAGGGATAAGATAGCCAAAGAAACACAAAGTCAGTTGAAAAAAGAAATCTGTGTGTCTGGCTCTCTCTATGAATTATGACTATTCAAGGGGGAAAAAAATCTGAACCTTTGCCAAAAGACTGGCGTGTAAAGGGACAGCTGGAGTTTTCTGTTAGGGGTTACAATGCATTACTTGTTCCATAAGGGAAAAGGGGGATCACTTACCACAGCAACTCACACATTGCATGAGACACTGGCACATCTCTACCTTGTGAAGCATTTTCTTCAAAGGAAAAGAGCCAGATATTTTGGGAAGGTCGCTGAAGATCTTTGCGTACAGACATGCTGACCTTCCTGCTGGAGATTTGTAGCCTTTGTGGTGTGTGGACTCAGTCTCTGTAGATGCCTTCGTTGTACTATAACTTTTATACAGGATGTATTGTTTAAACCGCCAGCCCTAATTCCAGTGCCCTTAGAGACTCAGGAAATTCTGACCAAATAATATAAAACCCCATTGTATTTTTCTTTGGTTGAGATGCAAATAACATTTTGAACAAGAATGCTAACAAATACATAAACATGGCACTAAGTTGGAACTTCCATTGGGACTCTAAATTTAAATGTCTTAAACATTCAAATACAAATGAAAAAGAATGAAAAAGAGAATGATAACCATATTTAAAAGTCTCTTAGGAATCAGAGACTCTGCTACTGCTGTCCTTGAGTCTGTGCTCATAGTAGGTCTATCTGTGCACTTATCAGCCCTGAGACAAGCACTAGCCAGTCTGGGTTAAACTCTGAATGACCCTCTCCACCAGAGTCAACGCAGACATGCGGAAGAAGTCACATCTTTTCCTAACCCTAGATTTATGTTATTTTTATTTATTTATTTTTAGATATTTTTAGATATTTGAGATACAACTTTATTCTGATTCTAAACAAAAGGGAATGGGAGTGGCAGTGACAAATGAGATTTCACCACTGGATATTGTGATGTGGCTCTAGCAGTCTTCTATCTGAAATTCAGGAAGGAAACAACGGCATTCCAAAACAGCTAAATATGCAGGTCCAAAAAAAAAAAATGAAGGTACTTTTTAAACTGCCACATTCACTCTGAAGCCCATTCATCTCCTTCAGCAACCCCAAGGCGAAGCACATGTAGTGCTCGGCTCTCTAATAAAGAGGCAAACACCCTGCACCACTGATATCACAGACTCCGGCCTAGAAAACCAGACTTCTGATGCTGGGTTGTGGGTGCATCCAGGAGAGCCGTTTTCTGAGCAAGTTCTAGGTTATGCTCATGCTGGGCTGCCGAAATTGGCTCCGTGACAACCTCTGGTGGGGCAGGAGCAGGCATGGCGACCAACTCCAAGTTAGGGTCTCCAATTAATTTTCTAACAAGCCACAGGAGGGACTTTTCAAAGTTGTAGTTACTTTTGGCAGAATGTTACAGTACTAACAGTTCTTCTTTCAGTGGAAGATAATAGACTTCACCTTAACTTTCCTGTCCTTCATGTCCACTTTGTTGCCACACAGCAGCATGGGAATGTTTTCCCATACTTGTACCAGATCTCTATGCCAGCTGGGCACATTCTTACAAGTAACCCTTGATGTTACATCAGACATTATAATGGCACCCTGGGCTTGGATGTAATAGCCAACTCTCAGCCCACCAAATTTCTCCTGACCAGCTGTAGTCCATACATTGAACTCCATAAGTCTTCTGTTGGTATGGAACACAAGGGGATGGACCTCAACACCCAAGGTGCCTACATACTTATACTCAGATTCACCAGTCAGAGGACATTTCAGAAACGTAGTTTTTTCAGTACCACCTTTGCCAACCAGTACAAGTTTGAGCTGGACTTGAGGTTCTCCTTGGGTAGCCATCATGCTGTTGCTTCCAAAAGTATCTCTGGCCCATCTGTCTGAGCCTCCTAACCCTAGATTTAAACAAATAAACAAAAACCTTTTTAAAGGCTGATTGGGTGATCTGTTTTACTGTATGCAATTGGGGTTCATTTCCTAGATTTCCAAAATTAGTGGAAAAGTCAGATTCCATCCACCTTAAACAAATCAAGGCAGATTAATTTACAATTATCTCATATTATATTGTCCATAAAAAGTTATATGTTTGTAGATATTTATAATTCCTATGGAGAAGAAAAATAGGAATTGGTGCATTTAAACCAACCTTGAGGTATTTGGGCATGTCTCAAGCAAAAGGGATCAGGGGATCAAGATTCACAGTAACGGCCTTATGGAAGGCAGCTAGGTAGAGCTCCACTTGGTTTCCTGAAGAGTGGAGCATACACTAATACTTGAGGTTTTTTGGACCATGGCCTCAGCAATGAAGCCATATTCATGGCCCAGGAGTTGTTCAAATTCAAGGGCGACTCTGAACCGTAGAAGCAGAAAACAGGTCACTCACTTGCCATTAGAAAATTCCTCACATATGTTTTAGTCCTTTAGCATTTGTGGTAAGATTTCAACAGAAAGAATGTGAATAGTATTTTCCAAAAGGGTTCTAGTTGCCTGAAGGATTTCCTATGATTTAAAAATGTCTGTTGGCAGATATACTGAATAAAAAGAATTTCTTTTCACCAGTATTTTACAAACTTGTATTCCTATTAATGATAAAAGCCTGAAAGAAAATAAAAGGGGCCCACATTGTATTTTATGCTCTGCTTGCTCAGATCACATATTAATGTTCCAGAAAGTAGCTCATTACCATTTCTATTGAAGAGGTCTCTTTCTACTTCATTCACCAACTTTGCTTTCTTTATTATCCTATGGATTACGGGAGTCTGTTTAGCATTTTTGTCATTGACCTTTGATCTTTGTTCATATTTTACTCTATAATATCTATAGGAGATTACTTGTTTTTTAGGATGATTAATGTCTGTAATCGTTTTTCTTGAAGTATAATTAACATATGATATTATATTACTTTTAGGTGTACAGTATAAATGACTTAATAATTCTGCACATTACTCAGTGCTCATCACAGTAAGTGTATCTTAATCGCCTTGATTTATTTTATTCGTCCCCCTACCCACATCCTACCTGGCAACTACCAGTTTGTTCTCTGTATTTACAAGTCTGTTTTTCTGGTTTGTCTCTTTTTTTCTTTTTTTTCCCATCTGTCTCTTAAATTGTACATGTGAGTGAAATCATATGATATTTGTCTTTCTCTCTATGACTTTTTTCACTTTGCATAATATCCTTTTTGTCTATCCTTGTTGTTGCAAATGGCAAGATCGCATTCCTTTTAATCGCTGAGTAATATTCCACTGTATGCTTATTACCGCTATTATTTATCCATTCATCGATGGATGTACACTTGGGTTACTTCTGTATCTTGGCTGTTTTAAATAATGCTGCAATAAACAGAGGGGTGCCTGTATCTTCTTGAATTAGTGCTTTTGTATACTTTGAGTAGTTGTCCACTAGCAAAATTATTGGATCATGCAGTAATTCTATTGTTAATTTTTTGTGGAACCTCCATGCTACTTTCCACAGTGGCTGCACCAGTTTTCATTCCCACCAGTACATGAGGGTTCCTTTTTTCTCCACACCCTCACCAACAGTTGTTATTTCTTCTCTTTTTGATTCCTGCCATTCTGACAGGTGTAAGGTGATATCTCATTGTGGTTTTGATTTAAGTTCCCTGATGATTAGTGATGTTGATCATCTTTTCATGTGTCTGTTGGCCATCTACATGTCTTCTTTGGAAAAATGTCTATTCAGGTCCTCTGTCCATTTTCAATTGTATTATTTGTTTTTTTATGTGTTGAGCTGTGTAAGTTCTTTATATATATATTGGGTATTAACTGCTTGTCAGATATATATCACTTGTGGTTTTTTTAAAAATTTATTTAATTATTTTAGAGAGAGAGAGCACATGTGTAGGGGGAGGGGCTAAGGGAAAAGGAAAGAATCTCAAGCAGACTCCCCACTGAGTGTGGAGCTGGGCCATGGGTCTCAATCTCATGACACTGAGATCCTGAACTGAGATCAAGAGTCAGATGCGTAACTGATTGAGCCACTGAGGTGTGCCTCACATATATCATTTGTAAATATCTTCTCCCATTCAGTAGGTTGCCGTGTTGTTTTGTTGATGGTTTCCTCCACTCTGTAAAAGCTTTGTATTTTGGTATAGTCCAAAAGTTTATTTTTACTTTTTGTTTCCCTTGCCTGAGGAGACATTTCTTAAAAAAACGCTTCTATGAGTAATCTATTTAAATATCATAGAAAAAAAAAGGAAGTCCTTAGTATGAGACTAAAGAACTACAGTTTGCAATCACAGTTCTTTTTTTATCTCCTAATTTTTAAAAATTGTCCTAAAATACACATAAAAGTTACCATCTTGGGGCACTTGGGTGGCTCATTGGGTTAAAGCCTCTGCCTTCCTCTCGGGTCATGGTCCCAGGATCCTGGGATCGAGCCCCACATCTGGCTCTCTGCTAGGCAGGGAGCCTGCTTCCTGCCACCCTCCTCCCACCTGCCTGCCTCTCTGCCTACTTGTGATCTCTGTCAAATAAATAATTTGAAAAAAAAAAACTTACCATCTCAACAATTTCTAAGTATATAGTTCACTAGTATTAAGCATATTTTACATTGTTGTTCAACCAATCTCTAGAACTTTTTCATCTTAGAAAACTGAAACTCTGTACTCATTAAACCACTCCCCACTTCCCCCTCCTCCTAGTCCCTGAGAAGCACCATTCTATTCTGTTTCTATGAATTTGACTATAAATATTGCAATATATGTGGAATCCCACAGTATTTGTCTCTGTGTGACTGGCTTACTTCATGTAGCATGATGTCCTCAAGGTGCATCCATATTGTAACATGTGTCAGAATCTCCTTCCTTTTTAAGGCTAAGTGATATTCTGTTGTATATACATAACACATTTTGTTTATCCATCCATCTGTTGATGGACGTTTGGATTGCTTCCACTTTTTGACTATTGTGAATAATGCTTTTATGAACGTGAGTGTGCAAATATCTGTTTGAGTCCTTACTTTCAATTCTTTTGGGCATATATACTGAAGTGGGATTTCTGGATCATCTGTTAATTTTATTTCTACCTTTTTGAGGAATTGTCATACTGCTTTACGTATCAGCTGCACCATTTTACATCCCCATCAACAGCATGCAAAAGTTCCAATTTTTTCATATCCTCACCTACAGTTTCTGTCTTGTTTTCTTTTCCTGGTAGTAGCCATCCTGATCCGTGAGGTGATATTTTGTTGTGGTTTTAATTTGCATTTCCCTGGTGATTAGTGATATTGAACATCTTTTCATATGCTTGTTGACCATTTGTGTATCATCTGTGAGAAATGCCTATTCAAGTCTTTTGCCCATTTTCTTAGGTTCATTTATTGTTTGTTGGGTTATAGGAGCTCTTTATATATTCCAAATATTAATCCCCCTGTCAGATATATGATTTACAAGTATTTATTCCTGTTCTATAGGTTGCCTTTTTCTTCTCTTGAATGTGTCCTTTGATATATAGTTTTTTATTCTGATGTAGTCCAATTTATCTATTTTTATGTTTGTTGCCTACAACCACAGTCAGTTGAGATTTGTACATTGTATAGGATTAATCAGAATTTATGTCCGAAGCTGAATTTAATGCTGTTTCCACTTGATGGTAATTCTAGCAGTTTTTCAAGTTTTAAATCTTGATGGACAAGATGATGTCTCCATTCTTTTAAAGGGCTAATTGAGTTGATGAAAATAGATAGATTGGGGTATTTTGAGAAAACAGCATTTTTTTGTCTAGCCATATTTATGCTACTCATTTTTTTCCAGTGAAAGACTAAAAGGGATTTTTAATTACCATATATTTTAGCTCTCCAAAGCATAGTAAAAAGGGGAAGTTATATTTTTAACATGTAATGAGAAATCTATGCATTCAAACCCAACATAGAAAAACAAGAGATATTGTTCCTCTTAGCAACTACAAGTAACATATCCTGCCTTTCTCCAAAACCCAAATCTTTGACCTACATTGAGACAAACAGGAGTTTCTTTGTATAGTCTTAGAAGCCTTAAAGGCTGACAAGCTAACTCTGGGGAATAAAATATTAAAGAAGCTCTCTTTGTTAAGAGAGTTGCTGTTCACATTTGTGCAAGAGTTATTTACCCCCCTTTATTGAAAGTTCTACCATAGGATTATATAGTTACCTAGTGGAAAATATCAATATTGCAAAATATCAATAAGGGTTATATGAATTTATGGGAAAACGGAGAAAAGAGGAACAAGAAAATACAAACAATTGTTATTTTTTTTTCAAATCACTACCGTTAAAATTTCCATCTGCTTTTCCCCCTCCATTTTATTGTGACACATGCTGTAATAATAGATCTACAATGTGGGACATTTCTTGCTTTTCTATGTGAATCTGTATTTAAGCATTAAGAAGTAGTTTATTTTCCTTTTTGCATGATAATTCAACAGCCACTAAAATGTATAAAGTTTAGAATCCACGGCTATCTGCATTATTATCTACCTTTTGCAACAAACAGATTCTTAGAGATGAAATCTGAATTTGATCTCTACAGAACATCCAAGACCTCAAGGATATCTCAGACTTTGCTTTCATTTGCTACTTTTGACTCTCAATTTGCTGGGAGACAGTGCATTCCTGATAAACATGGATAAGTTTTTGTTCTCATGTACGTGAGATTTACAAGGACCTGAGTAATGTCATGATAAACTTATGTCACCCTCTTGAGATGAGCATCTGGCTGGATGATGCCTCTAAGATTCTTCCTGTGTATATTTTACTATCTATGGAAAGGCAACTTGGATTTACTATATTCAAAGGAATATTTCTTTTCTCTTTCGGTTTTTTTTTTGTGTTTTTTATATTAATAT